AAAGCCAGAATAAACACCTTTGGCAGAGTGGACCGCTGTGAGACGTGCAGGAAGAGAGTCAGCTAGGTTTCTGAAGGTGTTCACTGGGATGTTGAGCCATNAAAAATATTTCCCTTTTCTTTTTATTCGAAACAACATCAAAAAGAAAAAAACACTGGCGAGAAATCGTTTGTAAAACGTAAAATGGCTATGCCTTAACAAAAATTTTATTGACTTTTATACACTCGTTAATCCAACCGGACTGTGTTGGGGTCAAAGAGCTGGCCTTGCATCAGAAAGGTTCTGGGTTTGAATCACGGACGGGAGTAATGTTGGTCCACCTTATATGGTTCGTGCCCCTTAAAGGGCAGCCAACGAATCTGATTTAATATATATGTATATGTATATACACTTGTTAACCTTTTGACTCAGAGTTTTTAAACACATTTTTCATTTAGGTCCAAGTAAGTGAAAAATATTATATTTAGCATTTTAATAATTTATGGTTATGAAATTCAGCATGAAACATCTTTTTCTGCGTCGAAGGTAAAAACTTTCAAACATGACTCACTTCCATGTAATAATTTTTCAAATTTGCACTTGCTTGCAATTATTTAGATCTAAAAGAAACAGTTGCTCACCATTAAATTTTTTTTAATTTACAAAATCAATTACTGATAAATTTTTGGTTATGATTAATAAATAAAAAATTCAAATTACTTTTTCCGGATTTTATATTTTAGCACAAATATAATTCCGATAATCTAATAGATTTTTTGGTTGAAACTGCATTTTATAATTAATAATACCAAAATATATTTTTGCTTGTATTTAGAGAGTCAGAAAAAGTATACATAAAGGGAACACGGCTGTCCTATTTGCGTGAAAGAGTTAAGAACACTCGAAATAATCCATACATATTATTTCGAATTGCTATAGGGTTAAGGCCAATAGGGAGACATGGCAACAATTGTCACCAAATGTTCTACAAATATCTCGGAAATCATGCGCAAGGGTGACAAATTTGTCGTTTTAAAATTTTGTAATTTACAAAATAGTAAGGAGAATTTTTTTTTTCAAATTCCATGCACTTAAAAAATATTTGCTGTAATTATTTTTATTGCTCTATGCGTGGAATGGAATAGAAAGTGTCTATTTAAAAAAATATTATTTAAGTTTCAAATTTGCATGTTGTGCTGGATTTTGTATTCATGTTCTGGCAATGAAATTGTTTATTAATAAAATAATATTTTTTGTTCTTTTGGAATTGACTTTATTTAAAATTTTGTAATTTTTTGAAAATTAATTTTTAGTATAATATTTTGTCCGTTCATATACTTTCTCCGTTTTCTTCATTTATTTATTTATTTGGACTCAGCATTTTAATCTTCTATGTTGAATCTATTTAATAATATTATTTTAGTTTTTTCATACTTGATTTTAATAACTACCAATCTTCGATTATTACGGGTTAATGAACCTGATTAATTTTATGGTGTATAGTATTAATTATAGGGTCTAATTAGTTTTATAGTATAGCAATAAATATTTTTTGATGTGCACCATAACATGAATTTTATAATTGTAAAGTTCGATTTTTTTCAAGTTCGTCTATCATATTAATTTTTAAAACCACTAGAATACCTAGGTGGTCTTACTGAATCTCTAATTTTCCATTGCTGGTGCGAACCCTACGAATTGGTATTATTTTTTGCAACTGAAGAATCTAAAATTCTTTTAGTGTATTTTTGATGATTTCAAACAATTTTCACTGAACACATTTTTCATTAATTTTGTAAACGTCAAAAGCTAGTAAATAAATGTGTTTAATTTCTAGAAATTTTACAAAGATTTCTGATTTTTAAGTTGATGTTCGTCTATATTTTACTTTAAAATATATGGAAGGAAAAAAACTGCATTTTCTATTTTTCTCAATTTTAAATTTGACCTTTGATTTCATCAGTTGTTATAAAAATAAAAAACTAGTCAAAGATTTTAACAGATGTGTTACAAAAAATTCTACACGTGGAATAATAAATACATTTTAGATGCGGAGTAGTGCGGGCATGACTGAACATTAAATAGTGCAATCTACCCCTCATATAAAAATTCCATCTTGGAACTTTTTGCATAAATGAGTTATCTAGTAACTTTTGCGACGATGTAAGTTAACTTGTAAATTAATTTTTAAGACTTAAATTTGACTAATAACTGAGACAAAAAGTTTTCCAATAGTAAGTTTATTCTGAAGGAACATTTAAAAGGAAAGAGAAATGGCAGAGTAAAATGTTTATTAAGAAAGGAACATTTTACAAAGATTAGAAAAGAATAAAACTCAAACGTAAGTTTCTTTTATGTGTATATTAGTTTCACAATAAGTTTAAAAAAAGAACTCTTACACTGTAAAAAGTAACAGAAAATTCTATCGAAAAAAACATGCATATTTTTAACAGAAAAAAAAACTGTTTAAAGATAAATGCAGATTTTTTCTGTTTTAATCGTACCCGCACGCTGCAAAAAATTCTCGTTTTTTTTCTCCTTTTTTTCTTTTTCTTTTTAATATTTTTAATAGACTTGTAAGGCTTAATGTAAGGCTATCTCCCATGAAAAATTCCATCTTGCAACTTTTTGCATAAATAAGCTATGTGGTAACTTATGCGATTATGTAAGTTAGCTTATAAATTAATTTTTGAGACTTAAATTCGGCTAAACTGAGAGAAAAAGTTTCCCAATAATAAGTTTATCCCGCAGAATTAATTAACGTATAAAAGAAAAGAAAAATGTTTGAATAAAATGTTTATAAAAAAGGAACATTTTACAAAGATTAGATAAGAATAAAAATAAAATGTAAGTTTTTTTTATGTGTATATTAGTTTCACAATAAATTTGTTTTAAAAAACAATTTTACACTGTTAAAAGTAACAGAAAATTCTACGGAAAAAAACATGCATATTTTAAACAGAAAAAAAACGTTTAAAGATAATTGCAGATTTTTTTTGTGTTAGAACACCCGCACGCTGCAAAAAATTCCCGTTTTTTTTCTACTTTTTTCTTTTTTTTAAATATTTTTTAATAGACTTTTCCCGTATATTTAATGGTTTAAAGCTAGTTTTCACAAAATGGTTTCTCTCTGTTGTTCACCCTAACCATAAACACATTAAAACAGTCAGTTCAAATTCCGGTTTTTGCCATACTGTTTTGCATACAGTACGATAACTTTATCTTTTTTCTAATCATTTTAAGATTATTTTCCATAATTGCTCTTGCTTTTCAGCAATTATTTTATCGTTTTGAACATTATAAATAAAATTACGATATGATTTTATAGTTAAATTAATACCCTAGCTGATCATTATCTGTGTTTAGATATAATTTTTCGATAACTTAAATGGTCAGATATTTTAATAAATGTGGGCCACTATATTTTCATCGTTCTAAATTGAAACTAATTACAACAAATAAAAATTGGGATTAAATGAAATTAACTTTTGAAAAATATATTAAACGATTTCGAACAATTTTTTTTAAATCACATATCACTGCATATAGGTTAATTTGGAATTACTGTTTTGATAGATTATAATAATGATGATCGAAATAATTAAACCCGTTCGTAAATTGTTTTCAACTAAAAGAAAACCTGAATGCACCAAAGCAGTATTTAATAAGAAATTCATAACGATTAGATAGTAGCTTGAGCTCAAATCTAAATCAGCTCTAAACATTTGTAACTAATTTTAGGTTAAATTTAGTTCAATTTTGAGTGTTTTTATCTTTGACTGAAATTTTTGAAAGGTTAATTAGTTCTCTGGATAATAAATTAATTCTTTTTTCGAAATGAAACTGATAAAAGTTAGAAATAAATAAAATTATGCGAAGTTAACTTATACGGAATGCTTAAAATGGTTTCGTCTAATCTATTTGTATCAATTCAGAATTTAGAATATTAAGATTAAATAGAAGTTTTAAATTTCAAGGTATTAAATCAATCTAAATCTAATTATTTGCAATTAATTTTAGTTTAAGAATAATTATTTTCTTATAGCCAAGGGTCTCCGCCCCAGCTCACCATTGCCTCGCAAGCCTGGAAACTGCTGCAGTAGTTCCTTTCCAAATTTAACTCACTCTTTCCCTATAAGACTTGTTTAATATTCCAGTTTTTGTACCGAAATGTGTTTTATTGTTTATTTTAAATATATCAAAGGCTACGCCGTCTACATTTTATCGCTCAACAACCCTCGGAATTACTTGGTAAGTTTTTTTAGACCACTGTGTTTGCTCATTTAACCCATTCTAAATTTAAAATAATTTCCAAAAAGCGTTATTTCTTTTAATTTTTCCGGACGCTAAAAGAGTTTAAATTATTAAACGCTACCAGAAAAAAAATTATATTTGCTCCGAATAGAAAATAAAAATTGCAATAAAAAATCCAAACTGAAAGTTCAAATTAAAAAAATATTTTTAAAGTTCAATTTACTCTTTCAGTTTTTACTCCCAATAGATTTTATTTATAACTGCCCATATACATTTCTCTTACAAGAATATATTTTTTTTGTTGAGAAAATAACAATAATGAAAGAAGCAAATAAAGAAATTTGCGCTTAAATATTACACTCTACCTTATTGTGATTCTGTACAAATAACCTTACTTTGCTTTTGTAAAGAAAATATTATCAAAACTCATACGAAACAGATTATCAAAACAGATTGTTTTATGAGGCGACATATTGTTAAAACTGTGATTCACGCTGCCAAAGGTAAGACAATCGATTTAATTGTCCTTTGTCATTTAGATTAAAGCTAAGATAACAACTCCTTCTTTAAAAAAAATTGCATTATCATATATTGACTTATTATGATTATTTCATATTACTTCTAAAAATTATAATTCAAGTTTTTTTTTTTTTTTTTTTTTTTTTTTTTTTTTTTTTTTTTTTTTTTTTNTTTTTTTTTTTTTTTTTTTAATTGTTCTTCATTTTAAATTTTAACCTTACGATGTTTTTTTTCTAAAATGAAAATTCTTCAATAGAAATCCCTTGCATAATTAATATTAACAGTTTTTTTTTTTTTTTTAACAAAATCGTTTATTATTTTCAACACATGTTTTTAAGAGTAGCCACTGTAAAAATTGCTACAACTGGCTTACTAGCCAGTAGCAAAGTTCCCAATTCTGCCTCATAACATCCAGTCCTTATCTCACACCTATAAATATCGTCGCTTATTTTTCTAAACAGTTTAAACACTTCTAGTTTTTTCAATATTAAGTGAAATTCAACATTATTACACAAAAATCGTGAAAAAAAATGTTAAATACATTGTTTTTTTTTAACAATTCACTTTAAATTTAATGGTTATACCATTCTTCCAGTATCGCAGTTCCTTTCATCACTTTTTGAGCAACAGTTTTGAGTTGATCAAGTTGTTCTTTTGTCAAAGCGTTCCTTCCATCCCCAATGATGCCTTTCCTGAAGAAATTCATGTCTTTTTTAGGAACGTCTTTCTTGGAAAATAAATCTTCTTTCGGATCTTTGGGGACAGAAAATTTCAAATTTTTCTTCATGTAATCAAAACTAGTTTTTTCAATTATTTTATTCAAAATCGACTCATCGTTAATTAATGCATCGTGATGATCTTCACCCAAAAACTTAGCGATTCGCAGTATTTCTTCCTTCCTGTGAATTTGCAACTCCTCATACGAAACAAACAAAATGTTCCCATCTTCCTCGTGTTCCAAATAGGACAAAATGTGTTCGAAATATCGCCCGCACGAGATGGTGCCATTCACGAAATTGTTGAAGTGCTCGTCAAAATCAAGCTTTTCGTTCAAACTTTTCGTCATATGGTAAAAAGATACCAGCGTATCATCAGGTTTGCGATAAACATAAATTATTTTAGTCTTTGGATTTTTCTTGACAACGCTGTATGGCAAGTGGTGCATGTAAACGCGAGGTTTTGTAGTCATTGCTTCAACTGCTGAAACACCAGATATTCCGAGGAAGGGGACGACTTTCTCCAGCATGTCATTGAAAGACGGAAAGCTTTCCGATCTCGTAATTATTTGCAGGACGATGTACTGCATCCACGTCGTGCCCGTCTTAGGATAAGTGGCTATGATGATGTCGTCATCCGCTGACATGAAATCCATAATACCTTCTATGATCTCTTTTTTAAAATATCTGGCAAATGGAACGCCTCTGAGCATAAAAATGTCTGTTCCTTCCTCGGTTGGTTCGTCAGCCATCATGAATTCTAAAAGGAAAAGAACAATCGTGATAAGTGTTTTTTTTAATAGATAAAAAAGAGAAGTGAGTTAAGCTTCTTAGATTAATATCAATATAATAACTATAAACTATTGATATTTCTTCCTCATTATGAAAAGAATTCATGTGTGAACAAAAAACAAGTGAAAACTATTAGCAGTGGAAAGAATCAAAAAGAAGTGCTTTGTTTCAACTCATGATAAACATTCGAATTGTAAAAAAATGCTGTTGATAGTTAGCTCTAAAAAAATCGAAAGGTGAGTTGAAACAGTAATTTCGTGTATAAAAAATAAATTGTATCTATAGTTCTTTTTAAGAAAAACCTAATTAAAATAGAGTTAGGGAATAAAAAAGGATAATTTTTTTTAAATCAGAGCGCACTCACACTCATTTCAATTTTCGTAGAGAATTTTAGGTTTTCTGTTACAAATTTCTTTTGGTTTTCTAATTCACGCCTAGCAAGCTTTGAGAAAATAGGCACCTATTTCTGAATACCGTGGCTCAAAAATATGTGTTCTGAAGGAAGCTAATCTGACCACCAGTGCTGTAGCTTTTTCACGAAATTTGCACTACTTCTGCGTTACAATATACGCAAGTCTGGCGCTGGCCTATATAAAAAAGGGAATAAATAGGCCGATATAACAAAAAAATTAAATTAACAAAAGGCCATCAAAATAATAAAAAAGCATATTAGGTTGTTTGATAAGAATTCTGCTCCCAGCTTAAACCGACTACAGTGCTGAAATAAAATATCCTTAGTGGTAGGCGAACCCTGGATTAGATTCGTCTCGTCGTTGGGCTAACCGTTAGCAGTTTTCGCGATTTCCTTTCTCCATGCGCAAATGCAGGTTAGTTCCATCAAAAAGTTCTCTATGTCCAGTTTTTGCAATTCCTGATGCAGGAGATCCCTTGTCTTCTAGGTTGGGTTCAAAATAACAGGACTACGAAGTTAAGCAATTAGAATTAAAAAATGAATCGAAAGTTTAGCAATCATACAATCAGAAGTTCAGATCAAGCGTAAACAAATTAAACATCGCTAACAGCGCATAAACTAACAGAACGACTAGCGATAAAAGAAGAATAAAAGAGTAATTAAATGCTAATCAAAAATAGAAATTGAAATAGAATTTCTTCCTTATTGTAAAATAGAATCGAAAATTCCTATTGAGCAAAACAACAACAAAAAGAAATATTTTTTAATTTAAAAAAACTGTTTAATTAATATTTTGCTAATTTTATAATATGCTTTGATTTTTTTTAAATTATTTTTCTACAGAGTACATTTAAAAAGAAAAATTTCCTACCAAATTATTTAGATTTTTAAATCAAGTAAATTTAAAACATGTATTTCAAGATGTACCTTTCATAGTTGAAAAAACCCAGATAAAGGTAAAATTTTTCTTTGATTCATTTTTAAAAATAAAAAAAAATGATTTCTGTTTTTTCTCCCCAAAAATAAGGTGAGTTTTTTTTTTGAAAACTTCACTGTATTTGTTCCTCAGTAAAAGTTGGGTTTTCTACGCTGTTAGATATTCCTCGAAAAATAAAATTTTTAAATAACTATTTATTTACTTATTATTTTACCATATTCAAACAAATAACCATAAATAAAATGTTATTGAAGTGAGAAAAACCATTTAGTAATTTCTTTTATCTCATATGGTTAAAAAACTAGAATTTTGTCACACCCACCTAATGAAGCCACTTAGCACCTAGCAACTGCATTAAGATTATAGCCGAAAGGGCTAATCTGTCAATTTCATAATCGACAGAACGGGGGTTCGTGTCACAGCGTTGATTGCACAATATTTCCTCCTTTCCCTTTAAACACGTGAAGAGTTTTCAGTCACCTGCACTTCCCAATTTGTGACCCTAGGCTGCTCATTCACGCATAGAGGGCTTTCGTTCAATCATAGTACCATAAAGCTGATAGGCACAAAATAGTCTAGTACTTCCATTTTCTTACGATAGGTGAAACAATAAGATAAACTTTAATAAACTATCATGTTTTGAAACCATTGCTAGTTGCATATGTTAAAAAACCATATAGTTTTGTATCCATAATTTTTTTTTAAACCGTACTAGTTATATATGATATCAAAACCATAAAGATGAAAAATATTCTTTGCCGTAAACTTTACGGTTTATTGGATGGGCAGACTACGACTGGTTATTTAACCATAATTTTAGAAGGAAAATTAAAAAAATAGAAGATTGAACGGTACATTACATTTGATTTCTACGCATTACTTTTACATGTTTCTTTAAGTATATATTTTTATTTTCATGTTTTTCATGCGTCGATTTGTTACTCTTTTGATTGTTATGTTTTTTTTATATTTTCCAGAGTTATTGTTATATTTTCTAGGGTTATGTTTTTTTATGTTTCTAATTACACTTGGACAAGACAATCTCGCCAGCTATTGGCATTTACGAATTAAATCAGGAGTGTGCGCCAATCGTTTGATAAAAGGGCATCGCAAGAGAGAAAGTACGTCTTGACTCAGAAAGACACGGATACATGGCAGCACCGCACATACGTGTATATTTTATAAAACCGAAACAAGACCTCTTCAATTTAAACAGAGCCATAAAGTGGAAGGAAGTTTTCTCCAGATCCCTGCACCCTTGACACCAGTGACCGACCACAGACTTTCGATACCATTGATTTTAGAAGCCATTGATTTAGAGCATGCATATCGCTATTTTTTTATATTAGGCATAATAGTGTTCCAACGTGGCAGATATTTCTGTAAATTTTTGGGTGTTTTTTTCGTGGAACTCAATTTTAAAATTTTCAGGCAATGTTCTATGGAGCGAATATTCTTGGGTAAACTGCATTACGATCCATATAATAATATCCCTGGCTTTCTCTTAGAACAATATAAAACATTTTCAAATTAATAAAATTCTATCCAGACACGTTATTACTGTAGCCGATCTTGTTTTTTGAACTAATTTTTAGCAGTACACTTTCCTTAAATCTATATTTTAGTGCTATTATGAATCACCCCAAGTAATTGAGGATGAGTGATAAAAATTCGCGTAAAAATTTTTTTTACGAAATAAACGGAGAATTAAATACAATATACAGTGTACTCTTACAATGTGAAAATACGATAACTAACATTCCTTTCAGAGATAATGAAAAATTTAGGATTGCATAACAAGGAAGAATGAGCAATAATTTCTTTTTCATGAATCTATTCATGCACTGATTTCCTTACCCCTTCTACTTAAATAAAAGGAAAAAAATTTTCAAGAAGGTTAAATTTGCATAAAATTTAAAATTACATTAAAATATATATATGGATAATTCAATGAAAACCATTTTAATGAAAATGAGAAAAAGAAAAAATGCAACATTGATAAAACAAATGTTCGTTTATCTTTATGTTTATCATATTTAGCAATTTTTTTTACAATTTCTTTCTTTCTTTAAATAAACTTTAATGAAATAAAAAAAAATAAAACAAAATTTATAGAATCGAAATTTACTAAAAAGTGAGACGAAATGGATAAGAAATTATTATTTTAAAAAATAAAACAGAAATAGATATTATAATAATTATACAAAATTTAGAAAATAATTAAAATTCGTTTTAAGTTTCTATTTCAATCTTTTCCCGCCTCAAAAACTGTTGCATCCATTTTGTTAGTTGTTATGATAAAAAAAAAACTTTCGACAATGTTTGACAATTATTCTTATCACATAAAATAGAGAAAGATTTACAATAGAGAGAAAACTATAACGTCACTTTTCTTAAATTCCAAATCAACAAAAGTTTTATTCTAACGAAATTAGAGTATAAGCTTTATATTTTTCTTCTAAGTCTTATTTGAAAATAGTTTAAAAGAAGAAGAAAAAACAATGCTTTCAACATTGATGTTTGGAATTTTCTATTCTTGACAAGTTTATTAATTTTCTTCTAAGGAACTAAATTCTTTTTTAACCCCTAATTAACGTTATTAACTAACTTTTAGGAAATTTTACTCTGCTAGACTAAAAATCAATCCAAACATTTGCATAAAGCTTTGTTTTCCTTAGATAAAAACAATAAGATTTTTTGAGGGAAGTTTAAATTTCAAAAAGAAATGCTGAAATTAGTGCATGAGGTATATTTTTGTTCTTTAAATTATAAAACTTGTCGATTATCTAATGTGAATGATCCGAAAAGAAAAATAATCGGATAATGACAAATAATTGGCAATAAATAACATTTTAATGTACAATGAGTGGCCACTTTATTCTAACCACTTGATCACACCCCATATCTCGTTTGGTCATTTTTAATCTTAAAATAAAATTTCAATTCTTGCATGGATTCTATGTTACGATACAAAAAAATTCCTGTACCGTAATTTTTCAGTAATAATTACAGTAAAATCACACTAATTAAATAAGTATTGTTGCAAAAATTAGGGTACAATATTTTTTGGGTTAAAATGGATTTTACAAAGATATTCCTCGGATGATAAGCTCAAGGTGCTGATACTTTAAACCGTAATTTAATCCCGAATACTTCACGGTATATATACGATACAGATTATCAACTACGTACAAATTTTGTCATAAAAAATTACATTAAATTAGAATTTCGAAACAAATTTGCGAAATGATAAATGGAAATAGTTCGTAAATGGAAAATGCCCTTTCACCAGAATAAATTTCAACTCTGTAATTGCATTTCTATGAATTACAGAAAAATTCACATGATATATTTTACTTCCTATTTAACAGTAAATAATTCACTAACAGAGTATAAAATTTAAAATGTTGTATTTCTTCATTTTTTAAGCATTTTTCATACACCTTTTTAACTACACGTTTCTAAGTTATAGCTTTTGCGCAGCAAAACAAGATGTAATATTAAGTTTCACTCTGAAAATAGTGGCGACGTTAGCCCTTGAGTTTTTCAATATAGAAATCGCCCTAAATAAGTAAAGTGATTTTGTTTAAAATTAACAAGATGTTATCAGAGATTTTATGTGAGGAAAGTA